GACATCCCACCCCGGTCCAGAACACCCCTCGGCAACTTTTTTTTTTTTTGGTCGACCCCTTATTTTCGGGGTGCGCCGCACCCCGTGCGCGCGCGTCGTGCGCGGTGCGCAGTGCAGCGCACGTGCGGGGTGCAGCGCACCTCGATGCGCTGCAAGTATGGTCTGCATCCTACCAATGCGGCTGATGATGAAAGTGTGCCTCCTCCACCACCACCACCAACACCACCAACATCACCAACATCACGAACGCCACCACCACCACTACCGTCAGCACTATCACAACCAGCTCCCCCACCTACATCGTCTACTACATCCCCTCTGTCAACAGCCTCCTCTTCTTCTTAGTCCTCTTCTTCCCCCTCACCTGCCTCCTCTTCCATCACCCTCATCATCAACACATTCATGGTCAGATCAGCCGTCATAGAGGCTCATCAGCCGAGGCATTCATGGTCAGGTCGGCCGTCACAGAGGCCTCTTCGGCGGAGAGATTCCCCATCTCCACCGCCTGAGACCGCCGCCTCCTAGACAGTGGACCCGTTTGTACTTGAACAGAATAATCATCGCGCCCCCGGCGTGGGGCAAAGATCTACTTTGACACCATGCTCGCAACCGTATGGAACTATGTCGTCACTCTCAATACACACTAGCGAGGAATAGTACATACCGAGCCCCATACCGAATGGCTTTTATAGTGCTGCAGTTTGTTTTTTTTTTTTTTTTTTTTAAACACACCTCCTGCAGTGGTAGTGGTGCTGGTACGAGCAGACACCACTACCACCTAGGGGGAGGCTCCATCTATTGGTGGGGAGCATCACCTGCTGGAAAACGGGTCCAGCGTCCCTTTTTACAGAGAGCGTTTGAACTGTGTCATTAACTGGACAGGAGATTGGGAAGGGGGAGTAAACCTCTTCGCCCTGAAGTGGGCGCCAGATATCGACTGTAGCAAACTAGTTCCTCCCCCTCCTACCTCACCTCTACCTGCTTGAGGCAGTGCTGTGCCAGAACTCGACTGGTTAGTTCCTCCCCCTCCTACCTCACCTCTACCTGCTTGAGACAGTGTTGTGCAAGAACACAACCTATTACCCATCCATTCCATACCACTTCATTTCCACTAGGCAGTGTGATGGGGGGGGAAAGAAGTCCGGGAACTCTTCAGGGGGTTTCAATGGGGTCTCTGCATCCACCGTGGTCCATTCATAGAACTTCAGACGATAATCTCTAACTATCTCCCTTCCTTGTTGATCCTCCCCTGGTCCTTTATGTTCTCCATCCCATTCCACCGTTCCTATCCTCCCCCCGTTTTCACCCCCAAATCAGCTTGAGCAGAAGTCCTGGATTTTAAGTTTGATGTCTTTGCATCTGTCGAGGAGTTGGATTTGTGCTCTGCGTGTGCACCAGACACGAGGTGCAGGCACTCGTGCAGCAATTGCATGACTCGCCGCCACAAGTGCAGCTGATCAGCTTCTGCTTCTTGCATCTGACCCACCCATTTCTCATCCACCTAGCCCTGGTTGCTACCCCACAGCAACTGACAATGATCCTCTTTCTGATCATTTGATGGAGCCCCCAACTGGAGATGATCTCTCTCTGGAACACATGCCAGAGCAAATGGAGTTTATAGAACAGGAGGAACCTGACAATCAGTCAAGACCGGAATGAACCTCCCCCTACAGTGCAATATGCAGAATCAAATGAATCCCCCCCTTCTGCACAATTTGCAGAATTGAATGATCCCATAGCGCGCGAGGCTACTACTTGTACTATGCCATTAATGTATGTCTTTTCACTTACAATTCCAAGCCCTACACCGTTTCTGATTTGCAGACATGTCCTCTCTGGCGTGAATATAGGAGTCCTGGCGTGAAGAAGAGCATGGGCCTGAGGACGACAGTACTGCTCCTGGCGTGAATATAGGAGTCCCGTCTATGACATTTATGGGAAGACGGCTTAAGTTCCAGTCCACTCTACGGAACGACATGCTAGACATGGGCCCGAATATTCGTGCATATATCCTGCATCGTCCACATCATTTCAGTGGTGTTACCTTTGCGGATAATTCATGGACACCATGGGACAATGGCAGTAGAGTGCACACGGTGGGAAACATTAACTCTTTCCTTCGCCAAATGGTAGGAGCCCACTTGGTATGGCTGGTCAACCAGGAATAGTATGTGGATGTGCACTCTCAGGCTCTATAGCCTCCAGAGGGCAATCCAGCTAAACCTCCCCCATCCCCTGCACATGGCCAAGTAACTTCCCTGATCAAACAGATTCTAGCACGGATAGTGAGGGAGAATCTCCAGAGGATGGTCGTTGTGCCATGTCGTTGTGTCTCCACACAGCTACAGTTCCGTTAGCGTCCACAGGGCATAATCTCTGGTCCGAATACTATGAAGGGATGGTCACTGCCAGTCTCTGCCGCGAAAATTGCAACCAATGGTCTTGCACTCATCCCCCCCACCCCCTTATTACTTGCCCGATATGTCGTTATGGCCTTGACATTCCATGTCTAAATAGTTGTGAACATCAGCCTGCTTTTCTGGTGGCATGTCAGCAACGTGCCATGTGTCGTCAATGCTTCCAGGAAGCTGTTATGGAAAGTATGTCTCTCTACTGCATGCACTATCCCTGATGCCATCACCTGCCCCACCCTTTTTGTTGAAAAGTCCAGGTCGTTGTAGAGGCTGGCCCACCTTTTTTTTTATTTTAAGTCCAGGTTGTTGTAGAGGCTGCCCCACCTTTTTTTTTGAAGAAGTCCAGGTTGTTGTAGAGGCTAGCCACCAGGCATATAACAGTTCCTTCAGCAGTTGGCCATTTGATCATCCATATTATTTTTCTACGCAGGCCACTTATGATACACCGTCCCACCCTTACTCATCATTACTGTCCCCAATGCATCCCCACGCCCGAGGTCCTACCTTAGTGTTCTTACCACCCAGGATCATCACCCTTTTCTAGTTATCTGACCGGACAGCGGTTACAGGCATCAAGGCTAAGCAGGTCCTCACCTCCCTCCCCATGGGGCCTCAAAGCAGAGCCCCAAGGTAACCAATTCTACATTACCGATTTTCCACAGCCCTTGTCTGCATCACCACAAATTTTGAACTTTCTTCGTTAATCAGGTATTGAACAGATGGCAAGGAGTTAGAATCCGAGGTAAGCTTAAACAATGGACTGTCGAAGGCACCATGGACTCAATTTTTCAGCATAGCATCAATAAGAGCACACCGCACCACGATTGAGGCCTTCATAGATCCCGCGACCAACGAACTGGCCACAACCACAGCCCACTGCGTTAGGATCGCCAGATCCTTCTATCGGGACCTCTTTGCCTCCCATGTTCCTCCGCAGCCAGAGGACGATTGTAGCCCAATGGAAAACCACCTCTCCCCCTCGCAAAAGGACAAACTGGACCGTCACCTCATTAAGGAGAAAATTTGGACAGCACTCATGCAAATGGACAAAGAGAAAACTCCTGGTCTAGATGGGTTCCCAAAGGAATTTTGGGAGACCATGTGGCCCTTCTTAAGTGAGGATTTGATGCGGTTTTATAATGCGGTCTGGGAGTCAGGGGACTTGGGGGAACTGGCAGGGCAAGGGGTGCTTTCCTTGATTCACAAAAAGGGAGATAAGATGAATATACGTAATTACCGACCTATCACCCTTTTGACGGTGGTCTACAAGATGTTATCCAAAGCACTGGCAAACAGATTAATCGAAGTAATCGAGGAGCTCATCCACCCGGCCCAGACGGGTTTTCTTCGTAACAGGAATATCCAGGAAAACATATTGCTGATCAATGAGATGATTAGTCTGGCGCAGCAAGCCAAGAGCACTGCCGCCTTCATCTTCATTGACTTCAAAAAAGCATATAACCATGTTGACTGGCTTTTCTTGGACAGACGCCTGGCACGAATGAACTTCGGCATGGAATTTCGACGGTGGATTATCATATTACACCAGAATGCAACCACGCAAGTGCAGATCAATGGTTCCCTGGCTCCTGAAATAAAGCTACAGCGCTCAGTGAAACAGGGCGACCCTATTGCCCCTTTCCTCTTCATCATCGTAATGGAAGCACTGACTGCCAATCTACGGCATAGCAAGGACCTGACAATCATGATTGACGCCACACAAAATAACATTGAAGAAATTCAGAGGCAGATGGACCGCTTCTGTATCCTCTCGGATATGGCCGTCAACTGGGGACAAAAAACGTTAGGCTGGTGGCTCCACCACCAAGGGGGTCGCCCCCCGGAAAGACAGCAGGTCACATGGGTCCCCCGGGAGACCCCAATCCGGGTTTTAGGGGTTAAGATGTCTGCAGAAGGAAGAACCCCGAAGAACGATGAATGGATATCCGCCTCGGCCCTTGCCAAACTCTCCCAATGGAACCACAGGAACACGTCACTCTTCGGACGGGCGCTGATCATTAATAATGTGGTTCTGGCATCTTTATGGTACAAGGCGGTTCTCTGGCCACTGAGTGAAGGGGCCCTCAAGTCCCTGAAGAAAAAAGTGGCAGCTTACCTTTGGAGAGGGGACAGCGAAACCCCCCACGCCATTAGCCGGGTCGCGTGGGACTCGGTCATCCAACCGAAGACACAAGGGGGGCTTGGCATCTTAGACCCCCTCACTCAGATGCAGGCCCTCAGCCTACAATGGATCGTGAGGTTAATTTTTGCGAACCCACTAACGTGGAGACCCCTCGCCCTTTAACAGTTAGCACGCTTTGCCCCAGAGGCCCCCCCTACCGTCCACCCGCTTCAGTGGTTGGATGACCGCTATTGGAGGGTGCCACGTCGCCCCCGAGGGGGTCTAAGAAAGGGAGATGACTTCTGGCCCCGGCTGCTGAAAACTTGGAGACGACTCCCCCCCCCGGACCGCCCACCCCCGTGCAGGTGGGAGGAGGTGGCAAGACAACCCCTCTTCGGCAACCGCTGGATTACCAATGGCCAGAGCCAAATCTATTGTAGCTCGGACTCCCTGTGGAAAGGATGGGTAAAGAATGGGGTAACACGCGTGGGAGACCTGTGGGACGCAAAAGAAAATGAGTGGAGGAGCCCGGAGGTGATGAGGGAGCGCCTGAGGTATTGTCGCAATATTGAAACCGCGTTGGAAGACATCATAGAAGCCCTCCCGGTGGGATGGCGGCTGATCCTACGCAGTGGGCCACTGTTACAGGATGAAGACTGGGTATCTAAGGATGGGGAGAGGCCTACAGTGGGGTGGTGTACACCAAGTCTGACCGGAGGATGCACTCATAGAGTGGTTTCAGGTAAAGGAAAATGGCCAGTTAATAGGAAGCCGGGTCCCCTTCCAATGGGTCCCCAAGGTGACCCTATATCGGATTAGAATTATTGGGGAAGAAGAGAACCGGAGGGCTTTTATGCTGGAGCTGGCCATACAAGACCTACCCATGGACCCACGGGAATGGATCTGGACCCATAAGGAGTGCCACAAAATGGGGCAATCCTCCTCCACCGCATTGGCGGACCTTTCTGTAAAAGCCACCTATAGGAAGATCAGAGCCAAGCGCTGCCTGAAAGACGTCGTGATGGATAGATGGCAGAGGCACCTCGACGTGGACCGACAACTCCTTACACCAATCCGGTGGTTTAAAGACACTAAGTGCAGACCTGCGAAGATCACGTCACTGCAGTGGCACATCCTGCACCGCTGTCTGCCTACAAACGATTGGTTGATAGATCACTCCCAGCTGGAACAACAGGGCCGGGCCCTGCCGTGGTGCTCACGCTGTCAGTTGGGCTTCCCCAAGAAGTTGAGAGCGGAAACAATAGAGCATATCTTTCTACAGTGCCCGACAGCTATCTTAGCTTGGAGATGGTGGGATAGAGTGTGGCAGCAAATTGTGCCCGGGCACCAATGGCCGTGGGACTGGTGTGCCATCCTGTTGGGCCACTACTCGCCTCTTCAAGGAGACACTTTTGCCTGGAACATGTTCCAGCTGGGCAGAAGAACGGTCCTATGGGTACTATGGTGGCAGCGTTGCGCCTTGGTTTTTGACCGAGTTCGGGTAGAGGGCGAGGAGAGAGTAGAACAGTTCAAACATTACATACAGATGAAACTGGACTTCAGATGGAAGTTGGTCAAACGCACTCTTGATACTCTCCACAGGGCAAAAGACATCAAGGACAGGATAACACAGTTCTCCAAGGAATGGCTGGGAGGGGACCGGGAGGGATGGGTAGCAAAGGTATGTTGGTCAGGGGAAGGGAATGAAGATTTGGAGACAACGGTGCCCCGGGATTATCGGTTACAGTTTAAAGACTGGATGTCCATTGACTGCAACGTTCCTCTGAGGCCTGCAGAGGACTTTCCAGACCCATTCCCGCCCCACCCACTGTCCCTAGATGTGAGCTGGATGGGCTAATTCTCGGATTCGATCCGATGCTTGCTCTGCTTGCTCTGTATGTTTGGCTGCGCTAGTGCGCTGGCGTCGGGTGCTTGGCTGCGCTGTTGCTGCTTTTTTCATTAGAACAGATGACGAAGGGCAGGTTCCCGAGGCAGGAAGATGGAAGGACAACCCACTGGTGCCCCCCAGTGGCTCCTCCCGGACTCCTGACCAAGCCCACGGTTCAAGATACTTTTTTACCTGCTCCGTTAACCCTCTGGTTACAGGAGCAAACAATGCTGGCAGGCATGTTCTAGCT